CAGTTACTTACGCGGCGAGGAGCAGACTAATCGTAGTGTTAAAGCCAAGCGTTGCCGTAAGGCTATTGTAATGAAGCAGAGAATGGTGAATATGACATCCGTCTTCGCAACTTGAACAAACGTAGGGCTCTTACGTTGGGAAGAAGTTCACGAAGCTCAATCCCAGGAGCTGCGATATACCCATGAGGGAAAAGATATGCACCTTTACATCTTTGCAGGCTAATTTTAGGCCTGTCCACATCCTATGGTGGTCCTTAAGCGATGCGAGAATATATGTGATTCGATGTTATGCTGTGCTCACGATTCGCCTTCGCGGTCCTGATCCGCTTCACCTGCATCCTCTGCGAGCCGGGCTTGGGCTAAACGCCTCTCCGTGGGTGATAGCCAACGTGTATTAACAGGCTGACGGAATAATTAATTAGCTTCATGAGAAAAGGCCTAGAGAGGTGACGAACGTAGTCAGGCAATGCCCACATAGAAAAGAAGCCAACGCAGATGGTAATGGCACCCTACAGGCAAATTAGTCTTGCAATAATTGAAAATCATGTCCAGTTTACCTCGATGTAGAATAGCCTTGTAAAGATCACTTTAGTACCCGTACTAAACAAACAGCAACTGGAACAATATATTCACCATCTCCAGCCGCGTATACCCCTCGCACCCTCCAGTCCGGAAAGTATCCCAGCAGCAAATAACTGTATCTGACATCGTAATCTTAACGAATAATGACAGGAAAACGACTTACACTGCCAAATGCATTTGATACAAGTACACTGCCATAAAGGATAGCAGACCTAAAAGCCAATTCCTAAAGAACGTTCGATTAATTATGAACAATGTCAGTAGAGTAATTGATGAGTACCTTTCGTGTGTACCATCTTGAAAGAAGATACATGACACCAGGATAGAACGCGGCTTCCGGAAGACCAATGAAGATTCTGCACGCAATTATTCCGCCAAATGAATGGGTAATCTATACGACAATATGTTCGACTAATGGAAAGGCTAGCAATGAAAGACGACATACGCCAGTCAGAGCGCTCGTCAGACCCCAGAGAACGACACATATTCCTATATATAGTGAAGGTCTGACGAAGCGTCAGCGTCTGACAAGGATAAATTCTGCGGTGTTACCACGTCACATAATTGAGGGCCTTGTTAAAGAGGTGGGTGACACTGACTAAGCATACTCTAAAGCGTTGTCCTTGATAGAACATACCATATTGGATGGAATTTGTGCAGGGCAATATGAGACATATAGAATAGCAACGACAGTATCATATTGAATGTCTATGAAGGCCAAATGAGTATGTTCGTCCTGAATAACCACGTGCCCAAGCGAGCTTACCGGATAAGCCAAGATCTTGTTCAAGTCCCTTCAGCCTCGCAGATGTCACAGCGATCCTCTATGTGAGTATTATTCAATGTCCTATTAGTGAAAGAAACTCTACCCACATCGATATAATTCATTATGAAAATAAGAACTATTGTTGGCAAAAAACGCATGTCGAGCTTTCGGAGTAGTCGCTTTTCCTCTACTTTGCGCCTCCTAATATCCAGGATGGCTGCACTGCAGCCCAAGGTTGTATCCTCCTCTGCTTTCGCTGGACTCTTGCCTTTAACTGAGACTTTCTCTGCGATAGGCTCTTCCGTGACGGGACTTTTGGGAGTAGAGTCTGGCATTGCTTCAGAAGCAGACGTGCTGGTATAGGCAGAGCATAGAAGACTAAGTCGGACGGAGATAGAGGAAGAGCGGTACACTGCAGACAGTACCGGTAGAACCTAAGAGGCAACAAGGTGTAGGACACCCGGCCCGATTAATTCTGCTGGGCCCCTCCAAATTCGGTTATGGAGTAGTGACGCGCTTTAAAAGGTCAGCACTGTTGTTTTCACGGGCCGTCTTTGCGATCATGAGCGCACTTGATATTTTCGCTTCGGCACGTATAGAGTTTCAACCTTGCGTAATTATGTTGGGAGCATATCCAGAAATAGCCTCTGTGTTCTCGTAACTTCAACAATAGAACACACAAAATCGTACAAATAGATTTCACTCAGTATATTCCATACCTTAGTAGAGATACCTGAATCCTCGCTTTCTCTCCATGGCTTCCTCGATCGTGATACCTTCTAAACGCGCGAATTCTTCAATGCGTGGGCGGTTTGCGCCCTTGAGCGCACCAAGCTCGTCTCTATCGAGCCTTTCGTTCTCGCGCTTTAGCATCCATCGTAGCACTATCAACGCATTCAGTCATGCTTGAGGTTGAGTGGTATGGAAGGATGCAATGCAATGAGAAGCCTTACGGAATCCGAGGCAAGAACTGAGTGCTAGTGCCGCGATACCGATGAACATGGATTGGTGATACGCCGGCCCCCATTGGGCCTTCCACGCATATGAACCGATCCTGTGGGATGGCACCGTACAAGAAAGGTACGACGACGTCATGTGAGAAATGGGTGTTTATAGACAACAAAAGCACAGATAAGACGCACAAGAATCCGATGGTGCCGAATCCATTTACAATCCCTATTGCTGCCGCTCGTTTGGTCGGCGGCCTCGGAATGGTATTGGAAACCCAGACCAAAGTTAGCGCAGAGCCTGCCGTGCAGGGACAGCCGCGATTGGGTTCGAATTTAGGCATCACGTGCCAGAGTGGAGGAGATCATGATATTGTTAGATTTATTTCTCACCACTCGACGAGGAACCAGCGAAGACGCTGAGACAAACCTGCATTTCCATTTGCCATCAGGAACATCGAAATGTACCGACCCACAACAGAGAATGTTGATACTCCGATGATGTAGCCAACGATGGCAACCCACCAGGGCGCGGCAAGGTGAAAAAAACGTTCTCCTGAATGGTCTTTAGGTGAATTATCGCCAGTTAATCGTCCGTTTGCTTTGCATGTATAGGTGCGAACTTACCAGCATGCAAGGCGTTCAAACAGCAGGCAATAGTGGCGAAAATCCACGGTGGGCTAATTCAGAAGAATGCTTAAACGTCAAAGAGATGTCATTTGTGCTTGGACAGGCACTTGCGCGGCGAGGAGCAGACTGATCGTGGTATTAAAGCCAAGAGTTGCTGTAAGGCTATCGTAGCAAGGTGAAGAACCGTGAGTAGGATGTCTGTCTTTGCAACTTGAGAATAAGAAAGAGCTTACGTTGGGAAGAAATTCACAAAGCTTAACCCTAGGAGCTGTGATATAGTCATGATGGAGAAGATGTGCACCTTTACATCTTTGCAGGCTAATTTTAGTCCTGTCCACATCCTATGGTCCTCCATAAGCGATGCGATGATTTGTGTGATTTGATGATATGCTGTGCTCACGATTCGCCTTCGGTATCCTGATCCGCTTCACCAGCGTCCTCTGCAAGCCGTACTTGAGCTAAACGCCTCTCCGTAGCGGATAGCCAACGTGTATTCACAGGCTGACGGAATATCTGCTTAGCTTCTTGAGAACTACTCTGGAGAGACGACGAACGTAGTCTGGCAAGGCCCACATAGAAAGGAACCCGATGCAGATGGTAACGGCACCCTAGATGAAATATTATTTCTCCGATGACTGAAAATTCTGTCCAGTCTACCTCGATGTAGAATAACCTTATGAAAATCGCTTAAGTACGACTCAAGCGGACAAAACTAAACAGAATTTTTACCATCTCCAACCGCGTATACCTCTCACACCCTCCATTCCGGAAAGAATACCAGCGGCAAGTAGCTCTAACTAATATCAATAATCTTCAAAAGGATGATTTCGAAAAAGTTTACGCTGCCAAATGCATTTGATATAAGTAGACCACCATAAAGAATGGCAGATCTAAAAGCTAATTCCTTAAGATTGTCGGATTAATTATGAATGGATTTATCAAAACAATTAATGAGTACCTTCCTTGTGTACCACCTTGAAAGAAGGTACATGGTGCCTGGGTAAAATGCGGTTTCTGGAAGACCAATTAATACTCTGCATGCAATTATGCCACTAAATGAATGTGTAATCTATACAAAAAAACTGTTCGAGCAGTACAATGGCTAGCTGTCAAAGAAGACATACGCCAGTCAGAGCACTCGTCAGACCCCAGAGAACGACACAAATTCCTATATACAGGGAAGGTCTGACAAAGCGTCAACGTCTAGCCACGAGAAATTCTGCGTTCTTACCTCGTCACATAATTGAGGGCCTTGTTGAAGAGATGGGTGACACTGACTAAGCATACTCTAAAACGTTGTTGTTGATAAAACCTACCATATTGGATGGAATTTGTGCAGGGCAGTATGAGACATATAGAATAGCAATAATTGTATCATATTGAATGTCTGTAGAATTCATATTGAATATGGTTGCTTCGAATAACCACGTGCCCAAGCGAGCTTACCGGATAAGCCGAGATCTTGTTCAAGTCCCTTCAGCCTCGCAGATGTCACAGCGGTCCTCTATGTAAATATTATTCAATGTCCTATTAGTGAAAGAAACTCTACCCACATCGATATAATTCATTATGAAAATAAGAATTATTGTTGGCAAAAGACGCGCGTCGAGCTTTCGGAGTAGTCGCCTTTCCTCTACTTTGCGCCTCCCAATATCCAGGATGGCTGCACTGCAGTCCGAGGTCGTATCCTCCTCTGCTTTCGCTGACCTTTTGCTTTTAACTGAGATTTTCTCTGCGATGGGCTCTTCCGCGACGAGACTTTTGGGAGTAGAGTCTGGCATTGCTTCAGAAGCAGACCTGCTGGTATAGAGACTACGGGCGGCTAAGTCGGATTGAGACAGAGGAGCAGCAGTAAACTGCAGATGGTACCGGTAGGACCTAGGAGGTAGCAAGGTACAGAGCTTTTGGTCTGATTGACTCTGTTAGTGCCCTCTCGATCTAATCACGGAATGGCGACGGCGGTTTAAAGGTCACTACTGGCAATTTCACTGACTCTCATCGAGCACATGAGTGCTGCGGACATTTTCGCTTCCGGACGGAGATTGAGTTTCTCCTTGCGTAGATAAGTTGACGGCATATCCATAAAGAGCCGAGTCCTCGTAAACTCCAAGAATAGAACATACACATGACCGTACAAATACATTCCCTTCAGTATATCCCATTTCTTAGTAGAGATACCTGAATCCCCGCTTTCTCTCCATGGCTTCCTCGATCGTGATACCTTCCAAGCGTGCGAATTCTTCAATGCGTTGGCGGTTTGCGCCCTTGAGCGCACCCAGCTCGTCTCTATCGAGTTTTTCGTTCTCACGCTTTAACATCCATCGTAGCACTATCAACACATTCAGTCATGCTGTTGAGTGGTACGGGAGTATGTGGTGCAATGAGAGGACTTACCGAATCCAAGGCAAGAACTGAGTGCCAGTGCCGCGATACCGATGAACATGGATTGGTGATACGCCGGTCCCCACTGGGCTTTCCATGCATACGAACCGATCCTGTGGAACGGCACCGTATCGGGAAGAAGACATAATCACGATGTCATGTGAGAAGGGTATTTATAAAAGGGGCACAGAGAGTACGCACAAGTTCCCAATGTTACCGAATCCATTTACAATACCCATTGCTGCCGCGCGCTTGGTTGGAGGCCTCGGAATGGCATTCGATACCCAGACCAAAGTTAGTGCGAAGCCTGTCGAGCAGGTACGGCCACGATTGCGTTACAGTTTATATTTAGTTGTTCCGTGCCAGGGTAGAAGAGATATTATTAGATTTACTTCTCACGAAACTCGGCAAGGATTCAGCGGAGGCGGTGAGACGAACCTGCATATCCACTAGCCATTAGGAACATGGAAACGTACCGACCACCAACAGAGAAAGTTGATACTCCGATAATGTAGCCGACCATGACACCCCACCAAGGCACGGCAAGGTGTAAGAAACGCTCGCCTGATCGGTCTGGAAGGATGGCAGTTATTCGGCTTGCTTCAGTTCGAGTAGGTACGCAACTCACCAGCATGAAAGGCGTTCAGGCAACAAACGATAGTAGCGAAAATCCACGGTGGACTAATCCAAAAGACTGTTTAGCAATTAACGAAGCGCTGTTTGGGCTTGGACAGTTACTTACGCGGCGAGGAGCAGACTAATCGTAGTGTTAAAGCCAAGCGTTGCCGTAAGGCTATTGTAATGAAGCAGAGAATGGTGAATATGACATCCGTCTTCGCAACTTGAACAAACGTAGGGCTCTTACGTTGGGAAGAAGTTCACGAAGCTCAATCCCAGGAGCTGCGATATACCCATGAGGGAAAAGATATGCACCTTTACATCTTTGCAGGCTAATTTTAGGCCTGTCCACATCCTATGGTGGTCCTTAAGCGATGCGAGAATATATGTGATTCGATGTTATGCTGTGCTCACGATTCGCCTTCGCGGTCCTGATCCGCTTCACCTGCATCCTCTGCGAGCCGGGCTTGGGCTAAACGCCTCTCCGTGGGTGATAGCCAACGTGTATTCACAGGCTGACGGAATAATTAATTAGCTTCATGAGAAAAGGCCTAGAGAGGTGACGAACGTAGTCAGGCAATGCCCACATAGAAAAGAAGCCAACGCAGATGGTAATGGCACCCTACAGGCAAATTAGTCTTGCAATAATTGAAAATCATGTCCAGTTTAC